TTATCCATCTCCCAACCCTTTATAGTCGTCTCTACAAGTGATAAACTCGCTTGATTAAAATTATTTTTTAGATTACTGAAAATTCATATCCAGCGAGTTTATTGCTTGTAGAGACAACTATACGGTTGGGAGGTGGATAAACTATACATATTGGCTACAGAATGTGTCTAGAATTAGAACGTGAAAGGTAGTTGATTGACCAAAACTAGGAAGTGGAGAAATTCTCCCCAAAAGAGCGCAAAAAATATTGCGCCGTAAATTGCACCTTTTTTGCACTACGGGATCTGTAGCGTTATGGTCAAAGACAAATATATAAAACCATAACGCTACAGATCTGCAGCTATATTATACACTTGACAGTCTGATAAGAAATGTTTTTCGTCTTCGACAACGGAACTAGAACAGAAAACACACGTTCTTTCACTTAGGTTAGGGGCTCATTTTTATATCGACCGGTTTCAATGCGTAAGGGAAGCACTCCACATCTGAACTGTGCCAAGGCTGATCGTTCGTTTTTTGAAATATTATAGATGCAACATATGGTTCGGTTTCACAATTAACTTTGAAGGAAATATATGTCCTTAATTTTGGTGATGATTGTATTTTCACTTTCCATTCATTTTCAGCAGAAGTTTTTGGTACATGTATTCGGTATTTACTATTTGCTGGTTTTGAAAAGGACCGCTACTGTTGAGACTATCAAAAATATTTTTGATTTGTGAACACCACACACCCTGCATATTATAATCCCAGATGAAAACTTTTTTCGTTAATCTGTCATTTTCCAACTGAAGAATTCGGTTCCAAAGGCGAAATATATTCAGCCAACGTCGCTGTGTAGAGGGTAGCCATCCAACTTCGCTGTTAAGGTTAAATAAAGAGGTAAATCGGTGAAGCCCCAGAAAATAACGAATTGCACGATTTTGCACCATATCAATTTTGGGAAAAACATTAAAACCCCATACTCCCGAACAATAATCAAGAACTGACACAACACAAGAATTATAAAGGTTTTCGTATGTTCTGAACCCAACATCCTTATAAGAGTGTATTCTCGAAATCACACCACCCAGTGCCCTGCCTCCGGCCTTCGCTAGAGTCTCCGCTGCAACATATAAAGAGGACTGCTTCTCATGAAAAATAATTCCAAGGTATTTATATTGTGGAACGATCTGTAATTTCTCACTTCCTAACCTGAATTCGAACTTAGCGCGCGGTTGACGCCCTTTACGAAAATGCACAACATTTGACTTTTCGATATTTACATTTAAACGCCACTTTAAGCACCAGTTATACAATAAGTCCAGTAAAACTTGCATATCATCCTCATTTTCTGTTTATAACACGATATCATCGGCGTATAAAAGTAAAGAAACTTTCTCATCATTAATTGGAATTCCTATATTTGTTTCCTTGATATTCACCGCTAAGTCGTTAATAAAAATTGAAAACAGTGTAGGTGATAAAGTATCTCCCTGGCGAACCCCGTTTTGACTAGTGAACCAACTTGTATGAAAATTATTCAAACGCACACAAGATTCAGTCAATAAGTAAGGGCTAGAAATGGCATTAACATATCACCATCAATTCCATTGAGCCTAAGCTTATATTGTAACAGTTGTCTGTCCACCATGCAGATCAAATGCTTTTTGGAAATGTATAAACCACAATATGTAGTAATATTGTTTTCCTTACCAAAATTCCTACTCCGCCAAATGTTTTTGGTGCACGAATATGCTTAGAATTTCTGTTGTATCCAAACCATTCATATCCCTGATCGTTTAAGTCCAATTTCTCATTATCTTTGAGATGAGTTTCATTAATGCTTATTAATTATTATGTCCGCATTTATATGTTCAATAAGGGACACCCTTAAATCATGACTGTTAACCGTCCACCCACCTACATTGATGTGACTATCTTTTGAATGAAACGAGATAGGGATTTCATATTTCACATGTACATTGCACACTACCTGTGACAAGACCTTCCAAATATATCATGATATTTGACCCCTTGAACTTTACCTTGAAAATTGACTTGCTTTAAGAACATTTATTTACACTTTAATTAAACTGGTCATACGTAAAAGAGAAAAGATAAGCTTTTATTTTGCACATGTTCATTACCTTCAACAAAGTCTTTCTAAATATACTATGATTTTTTTTTACCCTCTGACATTGACCTTCATTTCAAATATGCAATTTTTCCTTATAACTTTTGATTGAAAAGAGTTAAGCTTTCACCTTTGACATATGCATTGCCTGTGACAAGATATTCCTAGCATGCTAAGATATTTTTTACCCCTTGATTTTGACCTGAATATTTGAACTACTTTCAAAAATTTTAACTTTGGTGAAAACTTTTAAGTGATATACAGATGTATTTAGGATAGAGCATCCATATTTGACACAAGGAATATTGTAGAATTTGTCAGGAAAAAAATCTCTAAATTTCAGGATCTTCTGGCCTGGTCTCTAGGCGGTCCCAGACCCCTGCCTAATTTTTCTGCCCCCTAATTTTAGTTTCTGGATCGGCACCTGGAAATATTTGAGCACATAATACACATTTGTATGAGGTTGTTTTTTCCGAATCCGAACCAGAGTTAAAGTTCAGTCAACTGAGCTCGCAATGTCATCTTATTCCCTATATAAACAATTTATCAATAACTTTTACAGCTCTTTGCACGGCCCGGTCCTTCTACAGGTTTGTCTTGTCTGATCCTCAAAATGTACACCATTTCCATCCACAGGTGCTTGTGGACAGGAACCCCACCCCCACCCCCTGCGAATAGACACCCTAGGCCCAAAGATATTTTAATTTTATTTTTATTCATCTTTTTTCCTTGAATTTATCTTCTAGTACATATTTACATATATTTCCTCCGATTTTGATGATTTAACTACGCACGCTAAAAGATAGGAAGTGGGTGCAATTAACCTGGGTTTCAATGAACATAGGGAAAAAAAGCTAAATTTAGAAAAATAAAAAAAAGCTGAGGACCGCGGTGCAATCCCCCCCCCCTCCTGCTTGCTTCACGGATACTGTACTTACATGTACCTATTATGATAGGTGTAATCTCATCCTAATTTTTGATTGGTTATTTAGTAAAAAAAGGCACGTAGCAACGGGGGGGGGGGGGGGGGGGGGCAAAAAAAAAAAGGAAAAAGTTGCCCAAAGTCGAAAATCCTATTTCGTGTGGGGATGGGGGGGGGTAGGTAGGTAGGTTAATTTTTTCTCAGTTTCAACTACTTTTAGTACCAATTCTAATACTACAGTTTACTTCAGTTTCGGTACATCACTTAAAGTCTACAGGTGGGGGGGCCCATCAGGCTTTCAATTAACATTTCCTATATCATAAGTAAGATTGGGAAACCCCCCCCCCCCGGCCCCCGCTGTTGCTACGCCCCTGCTTTTAATATTTGAAATGTTCATAAAAAGGCTGCCCCCCCCCCCACACACACTCGATCTATACCACCGTTAATTAATTGATATCAGGGAAATGTAGTATTGAATGTCAAAAAATTGGTACTGAAAGGAGTAGACAATGGAAAAGTTCGCCTCGATCTAACCACCCACCCCACGAAAAAGAATTTTCGAGTTTAGGCTACTTTCCTTTTTCTTTTTTCTTTCTTTTGCTTGTCAGCTTTTTTTTTAGGTAAGTCAAGTTTCGCGTATTGTCATAGGCCTATTTACATGACATTAATTAAAATGTTATTTATGCATTGGGCACTGAAGTTGGGAGAGGGGTAGATTAGCATTCTCTATCCAGACTTGTCGTTCCCGCTACGCTCCCACATACACCTCTGTCAACGCTTGTTTTACAAGATTCTTGGAGAAATTGTAAATTAAAAATTGTATTTATAGTCGTTTATAGTTATATTTCTTATCGGAAAACAATATTTATTTTAACTTGTTACACCTTATACATGTTTTAGGGATTTTTAAATTAAAATATTAGTCGTAAGAGGGACTAAAGGTGAAATAAATGATGAATTATCATCTATATCAATAATTACAATAATTAATTACTATTTTAACTTCAAATTTTCTCCGTTCAAAATTTGTACAAAAACTTTATACAACGAGCGTTGACAGAGGTGTAGTGAGCGTAGCGGAAGACAACTCTGGTTAGAGAATGGTAGATTCGATTTTTTTTAAGAATTAGATTGCGTCCCAGGTAACACAAAAACATTTTTAAAATGTTTTTAAAACATTTTCAAAATGTTGCGAAAACATTTTAAAAAATGTTTTAATCACGTGATTTTGTATGGTTTTTTAAACGTTTTTAAAACATTTAAGTGAAATATTTCAGCAAAATGTTGTCAGAACATTTTCTTAAAATGTTGCAAAAACATTTTCAATAATGTTTTAATCACGTGAATTTGTATGGTTTTTTAAACGTTTTTAAAACATTTTAGTGAAATATTTCAGCAAATGTTTCCGGAACATTTTCTTAAAATGTCACAAAAACATTTTACAACAATGTTTTAATCACGTGATTTTGTATGGTTTTTTAAATCTTTTTAAAACATTTTACAAAATATTTCAACAAATGTTATCATAACATTGTTTTTAAATGTAACAAAAAATTTTCAAAAATGTTTTATTCACTTTTAATTTGTTTGGTTTTTAACACGTTTTCAAAACATTCAAGTCGAGGTTACAAAAGTATTTTTCCTGAATTTTTACTTTTTTATCTCATTAAATAATGAAATATTTATATTTTAAAAGAAATAAACACAAATTATATTTTATTTTTGAACCTTTAATACAAACCCATATTCAATATGTTAATCACATTTAAATTCCATTCTCGGTACAAGTTTTAATTTATTTTCTTTCAGGTCAACGGGTTTTTAAAGGTTGAAAACGGCGTCTAATCCATTCACTGAATTTTAAAAGAACAGAATCACAGAAATCCTATGTTCACTGTATACATGGTATAGGTAGAACAGAGCGGCGGATCTATGAGACTTAGTTAGAATCACATACACTGAAAAGGCTGATAAGATACTGCCCCTCGGAGAGAATAGCACAATCTGTAAAGATAAGGAAAATTGTGTTTGTATCAGCGTTATACATCTTATGTATCTTAAGAAGACCAATGAAAATATACAAAAAATATTTTAAAATAATTATATCAAATTTAAGTTTTTTCCTCATTTGCATTGAAAAAAAGCAGAAAATAATTACTATGACAATATTATTGAAGAGTAATAGTATTTACGTACACCTTTGCCTTCACCAAAGGCGGGTCTTTTGAATGTGGGAATTTGAAAATACGGATGATGCAACCAACACCATGCTGTAAAGAAATTTCATTTTTAAATCAACATATTAGTTGATGATTAACATTTCACAAAGACAACGAATACTTGAATCAAGGATATAATTGTGTTGCCTTAAGAATGAAATATTCAAATCAAATGCATGTATATAACCTTAATGCTTTGTCATTGCTACATACATTTGTACAAAGTTATTGATCATACACTGGTAGTATAAAAGTCATTTTAAATGATCTTTTAAAGTCTATGTTAAAGAAATAATTCTTACCATTCAAAGTTAATAAATCCCGAGGTTATTATTGTGGTTTATATGTTGCAAAGTCTTCTCATTCAAATCGGCACGGAGTAAGCGCGCACATCTTGTTTACCAGAATTCAAAATTTGGCCTAGATAAGCAGCAAACCACTATACTCTGTAACGCGCTGCCCAGCAGGAGAATTGCATAAGAGGTTATCATGACACTGAAACTGACCAGTGTGCCAATCCCTATCTTATGCCTCAGAGTAAAATTCTGGGAGTGGATCACAGATTTGATGAAGAACATTTTTTTTAAAAGACATTAAGAGTTTTATTTAATGCTTATGATTTTATACATTTATTTATATTTTAAATTTTGTTTGTTTGGCTATCCTTTCATTTATTGATTTTTTTTATTTGTTTATTCAAAGGACTTTATATAAATTATGTCTGTTTAAACAATAAGCCAAAACTAGAAATCATTATATAATACCGGAAAAAAATCTTTCAATTAAAAAAAAATTAAAAAAAAAAAAAAACTCCTCATTTTAACACTATTCTTTCTATATATTCTTTTTTTTCTTCATAAACTAAATTTTAGAAAAATCGCAATAATACATTATTTGAATGTTTTAAGAACATTTTGAAAATAACAGTAGCAATGAAAAATGAAGTCTTTGGAAAAAGAAAACACATTAAATTGAATGTTCTAAAATCATTCTCACAACATACTCTTAAAGTTACTAAATGAATTAAATTGTGCTGCAATTACATAAATGTTTCAGAAACATTTTGAAAATGTTTCCAAAAAATGTCAGAACTATTATAAAAATGTTTCAATTGTAGTGAAAAAAAATTATTTTAGTTAATGTTTTAAATAAACATTTTCACTGCCTAGGCCGAAAAATATCCGGAATTGAATGTTGTTAACTAACAGCGATATTAAGAATGTTTTAAAAATATTTTTAAAATGTTCCTTACAAATGTTTTAGTCCGATTTACAGAAAAAGAATGTTTCATTTCATGTTTTAAGAACGTTTTTAAAACGTTTTATAAGATCTTTGATATTTGGAAGCTATAAAAACCCTTCAATGAATTAAGAATGTTTCAAAAACATTTTGACAACGTTCCTTCCAAATGTTTCAGAGACGTATTTATGCAATGTTTCAGATTTATGGAAAAGGAATGTTTCATTTCATGTTTTAGGAACGTTTTAAAAACATAATATAAAAATCTTTGATATTTGAAAGCTAAACATACCTTTTGAAACATTTTTAAAACGTTTCAAAAATATTTTAGAAAAATATTCCAAAAGGATTTAATCATAGGTTTTTTGAAAACATTTTTAAAATGTTTTTAAAATGTTATAATAAGAAGAGGAAATGTTTTTAAAACATTTTTAAAATGTTTAGTCTGAAATGTTTCGAAAAAACCTTTTTACAACACCAATAAAATGTTTTGAAAATGTTTTGTGCTACCTGGGGTAGTGCACCTTTCTTCGCGTTTTTAAAGTTTTATTTCACAAAGTCCTAATTCCAATATATATATTTTATTATAATTAGTAATTAAAGACACAATAAATACGATTTTCCAAATTCTCTACGCTCTGGGACTATTTTACTTTGATCACGTGATCTGGTTTACAAGGTCAGATTGAGATTGCCTTTTGTCAATATCGGTCACTATTGTCATTGCTTCTGCGATTGCATCTACTCAGCGCTTTCACTGCATTCTTCAAGACATCTTGCACAGAAGAAGATTTCTTCTGGATGAGGTTAGTTTATCGAAGTTGGTATATTCATCGATTTATCACTCTATATGGCCTTATTGTGGAAAAAAATTTCGTGGTGAATACTCGGAACATTTTTGACGCCATTTTTGTCCTGCAGCAAAACTAAGAGAGGTATTAGGCAGGTACATGCATTTTGAAATATTTGTGTGCATGTTTGTACTCGTGTATTAGGTACCGTTTGTCAAATTTTATTAGTTTTAGGTGAAGCTACTGAAGTATATTAATAAAAATATTGACATAATATATGGCTAATTTAATGAAAAAATGAAGGACTTCCGGTGATGAGTGCGCATGTACATTGAGATATTCATGCTCACAAATATACACTGTACATTCATTGATTGGGTTCGAGGACAACATGTAGATTTTGTCAGACCCAAGATCCAAACTGTTTGCAGGAGATGCCATAGGTAGTTAGGCCAAAGGCACACAGTTTGGTTTGAGACTCATTTTGCCTGAGAACATGATGATCAATAGAAGTTTTGTTATACCTTTAATATTTTTTTACATTACTTACATGTTGTAGTACTGTCTTCCATGATGTAAACCCCAGAACTGTCCCTTTTAAACATCGCAATGAATGCATGCAAATGAGATTAAGTTCTGCCTATTGTACTGTGACGTAAGCCTTCTAACATCTCAATGATATATATACAGGTATTTTAACATCTCACTCAGCGGTAAACATAATTTTTTTAATTGCTGCTTAGTAAAAACATTATTGATTTAAAGCTGCTTGGTCCGATTGTAATCGCTAAAAAAATATATTTGTTTTTCTTCTTGAAAAATAATTGTCCATAAATTTTTTCACCTTTTGTCAAATTATATCCCCAAAGTCTTTTTCTTTTAAAAGATGTCAAAATTCAAAAGTTAAAAAAATATTTTTTGTTAGGTCACACAATAAATAATCTTATGTTGATATCATGTGAAATCCCCTTTGAAAAACTAAATTTATCGCTTACATGTATATCTCATGAAGAATGAACCCGAGCATTTTTTTCACAACAAAGTACTTATACCTGTACATGGACAATATTTTAGCCTTCGTTACTAAAATTCCTTTTAAAAAATACCTGTTTTACCTTATTCTTTAAATATGCATATTATTATAAAAATTACTATGGATTATATATTCCATGACTTAGGCTTCTACTTATGGAAAAAATAGTGGGGTTTGAATTATCTTCATAATAAGATAAAACCTGTAAGTTTATTTTTTTCAAAGGTGACTTCACAACAGATTTTAACTTCCTGTCAGGAACTTCTGTTTGTCAATAAGGTTTTTGATCTATCGTTTCCACGTAAGGATTGTTGTAATAAACTATTAAGGTCATTGGCAACGCAGGGTTTCCGGAGAAAAAAGGTTTATACCCAGGTTTTTTTATTTATAAAAATAGTCATTGAGAGTGATCTCCCGTATGGAATTCTCTAGGCGGTGAAAACCAATAAAGCGTGTGTTACAGATTGAGAGGTAAACAAAAGCACGTGTGTGTGTTTTATCTGATATATTCAACTCTACAATAATAAAAGAATAGCAGAGATGGGTTTGTTTACATTGAGCTGAGGGCCAGACAGTCAACAGGTCGTAATTTAGAATAAGTACATGTATGGTGGGAAGTGCAAAGAAGTGACATAATTATGCTGAAAGTGGTGATAGCTAGGTAGGCCAGATGAGAACGATTCTATAGATTATGTGAATGAGGCATCATTAAAAGTTAATAATAAATTCTTGCAAAAATGTTTAATGACAATTCCTTTCAAATAAAGTAAATTATAGTATAGAAACAAACAACCAGTCTCTTGGTCATTATGAATAATAATTAGACGTTAAGGGACGTAACTCAAAATCAAAGAACAGTGCTGGTATTGCTGTGTTTTGTTTCTATAATTGCAATTTGAGCCAAAGTATATGTTTGTGACAGGAAATGAAGATTCAACAATGTATTTTATGTGTAAACTTTATGAAATAAATGGGTTTTAGAAAAATCTTATGGTTAAAAATAATATAGGACCATTTTATCAACATTTTACATAGGAAATGCATTGAGAATTGTAAAAACATTGATTTGTCAAAATCTTTAAAGAAAGGCTGGCTTGATGGGTAAAAAGGACCAGAAATGAACATGTTTGGTACCATTAAACCTGTTCAAAAGTTCTTGAAAAATTCTATACAAAATCCAGAAACGTTGCCAATGTCCTTAAATCAATCTTATAATTTATTTTTATATCATATCTATGTAAGGCCAAAGTTTTTATTTTTTTTTGGTTTACGATTTTTTGACACAAAAATATGCATTGGGCGGTTGGAAAATAAAAATAAAAATAATTTGGAACCTTGACATATTTTTTTCTCGAGTAGCATTGAAATGTATTCAAATAAAAATAATAAACACATAAGATTTTTCAACTTTATTACTTTTTTCTTACCATTCGGTTTTATGAAAAAGTTTTTGGAAACTCTGAAAGTGATGGATTGCTTTCACAACAAACTTTTTGCCTTAAGATATGTGTGTCCAGGGATCAACCTAAACCCATTAAGGAGACTTCACTTCTCCCTCAAAGAAATTTAAGAAGTCTTGAAATCTAGGGGGACTTCTTGGCACGCATACGTGGCGCACAATAATCGTTATAAAACTATTTCATTGTTTATTGTCTATAACTAACATACATTTCAATAATTTTTCTGTATAAACATTGCATTTTAAAAAAATGATTAAAAAAAGAGAGAGAAAGAATCTTAAAAGATATTTCCCCCAATTACAAAATATATAAAATTAAATATTTAGAAAAATAAAAGAACATTGACATTAAATGAAATTTACTACTACTACTATTAAAATGTAAAAGTTTCTTATTGTCAGAATCAAGTGTTTATCAAAAATTTTTTTTCATTTCTTACATGGTAGCACAATCTTAAACTTCTAAAATTATTCTTCTCATTAAATTTTCAGGCTTTTGGCATGGTCATATTTTTGTTAAATTCTCTTCAAACTTGTTTCCAATATAAAATTCTTTTTCTAATAAAAGTTTTGATGCACATCTGCATGCCTATTGAACTACATATATATATGTTTATCGAATCTGATGTGTAACTTCATAGAGAGTTAATAACTTCACAATTTATCAATAAAAAATATGTCCGTAACACAGCATGAATTAATTATTTGACAATAAAAATATCTAAAATCTTCTCCAATATCTTTGGCATGACATCAATAGCTGTCCAGCTGTTTTGCGTCTTGTTGTGTTTAACTTGGTAACGACAGACTTTTTCATACCCGGAAGTGTAAAATCTAGAGGCGTTCCGGCAGCGTATTCGATGCATATTGGTCATTAGTAATTAGAAACAGCCTGTAATTGAGTCCACTGGGTTGGGTTAATGATTAAGATGTGTCGTAAATTATAAAAACAGTCGTTTGGTCGAGAAAATTTCGAGTCAGACACATTATTTTTATTTTCGTAAATAGGGAAAAATAGGGTCGGCGGAATCGTAAACCAAGAGAAAAAA